TTGTATACAGTTTATTTACAGCTCTGGCATACTGTGGTTAGATTTCCTTAAAACCAGAGGGGTTTTCTTCCCTCCCATAGTTGAATTGCACAGGATATGAGTCTAGGAAGGGAAGAGTGTCAGGACATCCACACAGAAGGAGCAAAGTTACATCTAGAGTTTGTTTCATTTGTGCAGGTACAACTCAACCATACATCACTGCTTTGAAAGGAAGACAAAAAACTCTGCAAATATGGTGAACGGTTTAGCAAATAACACGGAAATGGACGATAACAGCAACTGCGATGCCACAGTGGTATTACTAAAGAAAGGTAACTGTTCCAGTAAGTCACCCTGCTTGCTTGCATCATTCTGAATGTTCACGAGTTTGTACACTAGACATGTGGTGTGAACTGCTTTTGTCTTATCAGCCATGAAATAGGTGGGGAGGTGGCCCTTTGGTAACCCTTGCGCCAGATGGCCCCTCTGTGCCTGGAGGCACAGTTTGGTGACCCCAGCCACCACATCCTTTGCCACTGGAGGCAGCTCAGGCCTCCTCTGGGTGGTTCTTGCTGCTGGACAAGTGCCTGGCTGAAAGGACTCCTCCAGCTTCAAGCCTGACTTGCGTAGGGGCTACTTATTTAGACTGTTCCAGCGATGCCATTGTAAGTCCTCCTGTGGGCGCTGTTATTCTACACTGAAGATGCCCATCTACATCTAACCTCCAGTTAAATTTAACTCCATTCCAGAGCGATGTAAACTGAGCAGGAAGAAAGACCCTACTTGTACTAGCGTGCACTTTCCCCCTGGTGAAGGGAGGGTGAGGGACTCTGTGTTTGTCTACCTAGTGTGCTCTTACTGCACGTGCTGTCTTGAACATGCACAACTTTTCTGTGTAAATGTTCTTTAAGTGGATTTCACTTTGGCTGAAATCTGCTCCCATCTGACTTTAGTCACAATCATACGTAGAATTGATTGTGTTTCTTCAGCTTAAAAAAATCTCACCCGCTCCATAGCTCAGCAGCAGTATCTCAGTGTGTGCGTTTGCAAGCATGTGCTAAACTGCAGAGAGTAATTTTTTTATCTTTGCAACAGTTAACAAGCATGTGCAGTAACTGCTTGGGATTTATATGCGCCTATCATCAGGAATAACGCACACACCCCCAGTCTCTGGTTTAACTTGGGAAGGAGCTCTGTCTTGTCTAAAGCTGTCCTGGCCTCTGACCACAGATCGGCTGCCCTTTTTGTTCCACTGGGATAGAAATCATTTAAAAATAGCTCTCTCTTTTCCCGCAAAGAGTGATTGAAAGACATGGGATGTATACAGTTAAGCAACTAAGCGTGAACGGTAGAGGGGTTTGTTTGCTGACATCAGACCCTTGGACTCCACCAGCAGCCAGCCATTGTGTTGCTGCCCTGTTGCTGGGGGAAGGCTTTTGTCAGCGCTGTGCTGTGCGCTCTGGTTTGGGGAAGCTGCTTTTCTGGGAACAGCTCTCCGTAGCCTGGGGCTCTCAACAGCGAAACTGTGCTGGCAAGATGACTGCCCTCTGTACCAGTAAAGCGCAGTAAGCATAAACTCAGGCCTTAGTCACCAGGTTTACCAGGTGGCCTCAGGGTTATGCACAAATGAGGCAGTTCTGACAGTGGGATTTGGTTGAAATCTCCCTAGAACGTGTCTTTGCGTGACACTGCTCAGCTGCTGGTGATTTCTTGTTTTGGACACTTGCGGTTACTCAGGCTGGCTGAGGAAGGAAGACGAAAGGATTGCTTCATTTTCTTGCAGATCGTTGCTATATTTGCCTGGCAGCGAGCCACCGGAGGCCGAGGCGGGCGAGTGGCACTGCTGCACACACCAGCCAGCAGCACGGGGTCGCAAACAGCACCAGTTGCAACAGGTTGCCTGAGGGTTTCAGACATTACCATTTGTTTTCTGAGGCCTTTTCCAAACAGAGGACCAAAAAGAATCACACAAAATTGCTGTGCTTGGAGTGGTTCCCCCAAGTGCCATGCAGGAAATGCCAGCATGGAAAAACTTACAATGAAAAGCCGTCTGGCTGTTTTGATTTTTTTAATATGCATGACCCCACTTACCTACCCCGATCCATGGAAACCTTCTCAGACAGAAAAAAAAGTGACTCTAAAGTCGAGGAGATACTCTTCTGTAAGCCTAACTGTGATGGTAACAAATAGTAACATCATGGAACATTTTTGGTGTTCAGCACTGATTTCAGTAAACCCCAGCAGAGCTGTTACCTCAGGTTTCCCTGCTGCCAAGTCCCAGCCCTGGCGCAGAATTCGCAGTCAGGGTGGCATCCAGGCACAGAAAGGATGGAGGCTGGCACCGTGCCCCCCCAGAGGTCACGGGCAGTGCCCCAGCTGTAGCATGATCGGGTACCTGCCCTGTCTCCTTGTTCCTTTGCTCCTGCACTGTGGGTCGCACCCCATGGACTGGCACACGTGCTTGCTGCCGGGTTTGGTGGCACCTCCCAGCCCTGAGCTGCGAGCCCAGGATGCAGGAACCTGCTTTTCACATCCATTGGTACCCCACAGGGACAGAGGGACCTCACCTGCCTGTACGGTTAATGGGGCGTGAGGCCAGTATCCTCACAGCGCTGCAGGTGATAACCGTGGAATTAACGTAGCTTCACTGCGGCACCGCTTCTTCCTGGGTGGAACAGCTGCTGCGGAAGCAGTGATCTGCCTAACGCAGGCCTATGGTGAACTACGCAGAGCAGATTTAACCCTCTGTAATGAGCGTGAGTGGACATACCATGCTGGCGATTTATTTGAAGACACAAATGTAGGACATGTAGAGACAGAAATTAAGGATGGAGGAGGCATATTTTGAATGGTGGTAGCTTAAGGAATGGTTCTTACAAAGGACTTCTGGAACCCGCAGGTTTATTCTTTTGAGGGTCACACAGGGCAGAGAGAGACTGCTGGAAGAAGACCTCGATTTCTCTTTGTTCCTTGGCTGCAGGAAATTTCCACCGTAAAGCCTCGGTGATCATGGTGGATGAGCTGCTGTCTGCCTACCCACACCAGCTCTCGTTTTCTGAGGCTGGACTCCGGATCATGATAACCAGCCACTTCCCTCCCAAAACACGTCTCTCCATGGCCAGCCGCATGTTAATCAATGAGGTACGTCTTTTATCTCCCCCCACCTCCCCTGCTCCTTCTGCCTTTTCCTGTAGCAGTGTTTGGGTCAAAATGGAACTCTTGTGTTTTTTCTGGATCCCTGATAGCATTTTCCCAGATTTTATCCTTCTGATACTGACTTTACTATAATCATCCCTTGCTATCTGTCCCCATGGAGACGTTAGAAGAGAAAGTTTCAAGTCATCATGTGGTTATGTTACCTGTAGGTGTTTCTTGCAGGAGGTGCGCCCTGAATTGATTGGACATTAGTGTTACTTGCACTTATTTAATAATGTGGTACTCCACTGAGTCTGCACTTAGTCTGGCATCATCTTGAGGACTCCTGCTGTCAGTTGTACAGCCACTGGTCCTTCTCTTATAGAAGTTGTGTGAGATTTGTCTAGTCATTTACAAGCAAGCATAGCGTTGCACCTGATCACAATTCATCGGTTTTGTTTTTAAAGCCAGATTTTTAAAGAACTCTGTCGTCTCTCTTTCTCTGTTCCTCCCTTTCTTGTTAAAAAATTTAAATTTTAAAAAATCTGTCTTTCAGCAAGAATTTTTGCCTGTATTTACAGAGACAAAGGCTGATCAACAGTAGGACTTACACCAATGGTGAGTCAGAAGTAGCAATCAAAATACCTATCAAGCATGTGGTTGAGAATGGAACAGGCCCCAGCAACTCTGCCGAACGAGGTGTGAACGGCACACGGCAGGATGAAGACGTGGCTGAGGCTGGGAACGAGACAGAGAACGAGAATGAGGATAACGAGAACAACGAAAACGATGAGGAAGAGGAAGAAGATGATGACGATGATGACCATGAAGGGCCATACACACCTTTTGACCTACCCAGTAAGAAGCTCCTGGGTTTGTGTTGTTCCAGAAAGCAAAACTCAGTGTGGGTATGCCAGAAAGCATCGCAGACGCGTGTTGAGGTAGAAGTGTCTGTGAGAGCTCCCATCAGCCTGAACCTCTCAGTGTATTTCCTGGTCACGGGTAGAAGATGAGAGGAGCTGGGAAGCCGCAGGAACTTCTCAGGGTGCAGGCTCCTGGGCTTGAACGCACATCTGCTGTGGCTCATGTGTTGGCCCGGTGTTGCTCTTGCGGTCAGAGGGGAGAGGCTGCAATCTCCACAGGGCGATTCCGGCCCCAAAACCTGGGTCAGGTCTCTCTCTGCTGACTGTGGAGGAAGCTGATGGTGGGGCTGCTGGCATGGTGCCTGAGCGCAGGTCAGATTTATCTGCATCCAGACCTGACCTTTGCTGGGAAATGAGGTGTGCTCTTACCTTGGTGGTAAGGTGTCCCTGGCACCTTGCTTCTTAATATTAACAAAGTAATAACATTCTGGACTAAAGCAGACCAGAATTGTGATTGCCTCCCTTTTTTGTTTTACAGCTGGCAAGATAGAAATCTTGAAGTGGCTCTTCACATGGCCATTGAGTTTTGTCCTGTACTTCACAGTGCCCAACTGTAACAAACCCCACTTGGAGAAATGGTTCATGGTTACTTTTGCTTCTTCTACTCTCTGGATTGCAGCTTTCTCCTACATGATGGTGTGGATGGTAGGTACCAACTAAAGCAGAAACCACAGTCTGGGAGAAGCAACAGAGGTGGGTTTTGGCAGCTTAGAGGAATGTGTAGAAAGTTCTACATACCTGAATTTTTAAATAAGAAGCCTCAATCTGCTTCCATTTCTATTAGATGTGTCCACACTGACAGTAGAGAATTAGGGACCAGTAGCCATGGCCCTTGAACTTGAATCAGGGCTGGAATTTCACACAGATTCTTTAACATGGGAAAAAATGACACTTGCACCAGTTCAGCACCTCCCTGTCGCTGCAGGGCAGTGTAAAGAGGCCCCATGCTAGTAAAAATCTGGCCTCAGTAGCTTTTCCTTTTCTTGGAGCAAGCAAGCTTGAGAGACAGAGTTGTGGATGGTAACACTTTGAACGCAGCAGGAAGAAGAGCATGATGTGCAGCCAAATTCTTTGACAGCTACTCTGGTCAACAGGAACTGAATTCTACCTCACTATCCTAAAGGTAGAAGGGGTAAGTAAGAAGGGACACAAGGAAATCCCAGCATAGCTGTCCTGTTCCCAGGGGAGAAGTTTTGTGCCCTGGCTGGTCATTGAGCCTGTTAGCTTGCTGCAGGCTTCACTACATGGTCTGTGTAGGAGAGAAGCCTAAGTTGTCCTCGTTACGCTTGCAGTAACACTGCAGCATGAGTTGTGTTTCTTTTGGGGCGGTCTGTCCTCTGAAGCAGAATCAGACAGCAATGGGGCATTGGCATCAGGAGAGGGTCTAACCAGGGGAGCCTGGCAGGTGTGATGGAGTGCACGATATGTGGTCTGTCTCAGCATGGGACCCGAAGAGCATGGAGATACCTCACTGGAGCAGTGGCCACTGCTTCCCTGTTGGGAAGGGGGAGGCAACAAATCTTCACTGCCTTCACAATTCATTCTTGCACTAAATGCAGAGAGGAATGCCAGGCTTTTCCCTGGGAGCCAATCAAAGCAGTTACAGAAGAGAGGTTCTTATTTTGGTTTATTTTCAGTAACCCATGTTGCCCTGAACAGGAAATAGAAAGTTACTTGTTTTCTTCTGCTTTTCGTCTGTGAGGATGAGGTGTTTTTTCAAGAAAAAAAGCTATTCCAGCTTTCCATAGCTGAAATACCAAAGCCCACAGGGTCACTGTGCTGCTTCTAACATATGGTTCACATTTCTTGGAGTGTGCTGCAGAGAGTACAGAGGAGCAATTAAATGTGGCTAATAGGAAATGGGCATCATTAGACAAAGGCACCCAAAATTTAAAAATATTAATCAATTTGAAGAGCACTAATTTATCATCGACTGCATGGCAAAGAAGAGAGGAAATTAAAGGTATCTGAATTGTTTGCAGTCACTTGGGGGTATGTCCCTGCGTGCACTATTTTCACAGTATAATGAACCATGGGGTTGTTTTGGTGTCTGTTCAGCTGTTATTGTTGTATAATAATGTCTGCAAACTTCAGCCAAGATCGGGAGACTGTTACACAGGGTAGTGGGCCACCGTATAGTCTCTTTTCCAGGTTAGTGTCAGGAAAATTGTGGGTGAAAGGTGTAAGGCAGCTAACCAAAGAGGGTACATAGCAGGTCAGTGCTGTCCTCCGCCAGGTGATGAATATACCATAACAGCCTGTCGCTGCTGCTCTGTAGAGACTGTGTGAGTTTGTACTGAGCAATAAACTCCATCTCACAGCAGCTTCCAGAACTGGGCCAAGCTGGTCTCTGATCTTAAATCTCGTAAACAGCTTGACAGTTGATTTCCTCTCCTTAGGTGACAATCATTGGCTACACACTGGGAATTCCAGATGTGATCATGGGGATCACTTTCTTGGCAGCTGGAACCAGTGTGCCGGACTGCATGGCAAGCCTTATCGTAGCAAGGCAAGGTAGGTTCATCACAGAGATGTCGTACTGCTGTGGAAGTGTTTCTGTGTGTCCTCTTCCTCTTCAGGTAGCACAGATGTGTCCTGGATGTGAAAACATACAGAGCCCCTTCCCTGAGGCTGAAATTTAAAACAAGAACACAGAAGGAAATTGATTATGTTGCTATTGCAAAGCAGCTAACAGGTTCTCAATGACAGCGTGGAACAAGTTTTGGCACTATTGTCAACTTCAGCCTTCCGCAAAAGTCACGATGTTTTTCTTAATTTAAATATCAGTGGTATAGAAAAGTTTAGAACATGGTGTAAGGGTCTTTCAGGTCACTTTCCAGTTCTTGTCCGCAGTCATAAGGACTGGAAGATGCTACTGCTTTTAAGGAAAACTATATTCCACTCCCTCCCCGGCCCCGCCTTGTGACTCCAGCAGCAGGTGTTTTAAGAGAAGAAGGAAGTTATCAGTCCTGCTTTGGGGAACAAAAACAGTGGTTCTTCATTGAAACAACCAGCTCCTTAATAGGCTAGCTGAAGGCCTAACCTAATCCGTCCAGAACAGGAGCTCCTGTGTCATGGTTACAGTAAAGCATGAAAACCCTCTGAGCAGGGCACAGGATTACCAGCGGGTCGCAGCCAGCACAGCCAGTGGCCAGGGTCCCCACAGCAGCCGAGGATTAGTTGAGGAAAGTTCTCGGGTGATCTTAGAGGTGGATTCAGCCCCTCCAACCCTGCTGGTGTTGTGTGGTGGGGAGGGGAAGGGGAAAGGACAGGGATGGGGTTAGGGGGTTCTCCCTTAATCTTTACCTTAATCCATGGAAATTGTCTAGATTAGCTCAGGTTAATGTATTTCTGCTTAAAAGTTGGAAGACTTTTCTGAGCAATGTCTGATTGAACATGGTTTCCATTCCTGCAGGTATGGGGGACATGGCTGTGTCTAACTCCATCGGAAGCAATGTTTTTGATATTTTAATTGGCCTAGGCCTCCCGTGGGCTTTGCAGACCCTAGCAGTGAATTATGGATCATACGTAAGTCCTATATTGGTTCATATGATTCTTATTTATTTATTTATTTTTATTAAACCAGATCTATTTAGGAAAAAAAAGTCCAAAATTATGTGGATTTACTTTGAAGAAACAAATATTTTTGCTCTGTTACAGTTTGTGAGAAGTAGCAATTAATTGTCCATGGACATTCCCCATCCTTTGGAGGACAAGGACTTCCATTTCCTCCTTAAAGGCAGCAGTCTGTGCTGAAATAAGTTAACTCGCTAGAGTATACTGCATTTTCACACACTTGAATATATTCCAAAAAAGGAGAATGATCTTGGTTTTAATACGACAGATGGGATAAACATAGGTGGAAAGTAAAGGCTAGAGCAGACCTGTAGGGCTTTTGCTAAGAAAAATTCTAGTGTTACTAAGATGTTAGCACCCTGGAAGATGAAGGAAGCTGTTAAATAACTGGATGTTTCAGAGCATGACCCTCATCAGGAAACACTGCAGAGCTTTCCAGCTTGAGAAAAACTCCCCAACATGAATTAAACCATCCTTTACTTCCCAAATTATAAAAGAGCCACCCCCTTGCCCCCAAAGTTGTTGCAAGCTCACTTCTGAGAAGGAAAAGCAGGAGATGGATGATGTCCTAGAGGGTAGTTGTTGTTGCTGTTGCTTTTAGCTGGACAACACTCAGACAGCAGTGTAGGACAGAGGAAAGACTTGATTACAGTCACTGAGTGAATGCAAAGTTAAAATGCATTCACTCAGTGACTGTAATCAAGTCTTTTGCTGAGGTTGGCAAATACCTCTGGAGATCGTCTAGTCCTCAACCCTCTGCTCAAAGCAGAGTCAGCCAGAGCAGGATGCTTAGGACCATGTCCATCGGGTCTTGAGTACCTCCCAGGATGGAGACTGCAGGGCCACTCTCAGCAGCCTGTTCTGGTGTTTGACCACTCTCACTGCAAAAAAGCATTCTTAACACTTACATGGAATTTCTGTATCTAAAATTGTTTCCTCTCATCCTTTCAATGGACACCACTCAGAAGAGTCTGGCTGTACCTTCTCCGTCCTCTCCCATCAGGTATTTATGCACATCAATAAGATTCCCCTGAATCTTCTCTTCTCTGGGCTGAACAGTCCCAGCTCTTGTAGCCCCTCTTTGTATGTCAGGTGCTGCAGCCCCTTAAGTCATCCTTGTGTGCTTTCCCTGGACTCGCTCCAGGAAGCCCATGTCTTCGTTGTGTTGAGGAGCCCAGAACTGGACCGAGCGCTCCAGATGTGTCTCACCAGTGCTGTGCAGAGAGGGATCATCTCCCTTCACCTGCTGGCAGCACTTCTCCCAGTGCAGCCCAGGGTGCTGTTGGTGCTCCGTGCCACAAGGGTGCATTGCGCACCTCAGCTTGGTGTCCACCAGGATCAACAGGTCTTTCTCTGCCAAGCTGCTTTCCAGCTGGTCATCCCCAGCATGTCCTGATGCATGGGGTTATTCCTTCCCAGATACAGGACTTTGTTCATGTTCACGAGTTTCCTGCCTGTGCATTTCTCCAGCCTGTCCAGGTCCCTCTGGATGGCAGCACAAGCCTCTGGGGCATCAGCAGTTTGTGTGCAGCAGTTTGGCCAGTTATCGGTCCACTCCACTGTCCACTTATTAAGTCTCTTCTTCCTCTGTCTGTCTATGAGGATGTTTGAGAGACAGTGTCAAAAGCCTTGCTAAAGTCAACCTAAACAACATCTGTTGCTCTCCCCTCGTCTAACAAGTCCACCTCATCACAGAAGGCTATCAGGCTCGGTAAACGTGATTTCTCTTTTCTAAATCCATATGTCTACTCACAATCACCTTTTTTTGTCCTTCATATGTTTAGAAATGGTTCCCAGGATTATTTGCACCGTCACCTTCCCAAGGATCAAGGTCAGGCTGACCAGCTTGCAGTTCCTTGGATCTTCCCTCTTCTTGAATATAGGAGTGACAAAGGGAAGCAATGCTGTAGGAATAAAATCCCTTTCTTTAATGAGCAGCTTATCTGTAGCTCATCTGTATTTTTTGCGGAAAAGGATGAAAACAAGTGTCTGAACAGAAGCAGCCAGCTTCCACGGAGGCATAACAATGTCACTACTGTTTTGCACACCCAAAATGTTCATTGTGCAGCGGGATCACATGGTTAGAAAGGCAGTCTTGGAAACAGCACCACAATTAGCAAAGAGAGTTTCCTCAGTTTTCACTTGCGGTTCCTGGGTTTCTCTCCAAATCCTTGGATAATTGGACTTGAAAGCAAAACAAGCCCCCTCTGTTATTAGTAATTAATTCTTTAAGTATTACTAAGTTGCCAGCAAAGGCTAGCGTTGGCTGGGTCAGGTGTAGCCCAGTGGCAGCATTAAGAGCTGCGGGATGCTGTAGGCTGTTCAGGGACCCCAGCTGATGTGCCAGGCAGCAAGGACGGAAGACGAGGAGCGGCTGCTCCCCGAGGTCCGCGGGGCGTGTGAGCAAGTCCTGTGCCCTGGCGGGGGGCTGACGGGCTCAGGCCAGCTCACTCATCTGCTAAACATGGTGGTGAGTCAGAAGCACCAGGTAATTTCTGAGCTCATAGTCACAATTTTGTACCGCTCTTTTCTTCTGGTATTTGGCAGGATCCAAATTTGTCTTTGTAGCATCTCCTCCAAAAGAGGAACTCCTCAAAGCCATCGTGATGCCTCTGTCTTGCGTATAGAAGGAAGGAGATTTGTAAAGGACAAAAAGAGGTTACTGGATCATTATTACTTTTGCGTAGCCATCTGAAACCATGATTGCCTCCACACGTTGTTTAATATAACAGGACTGTGGCAAAGTTAAGCTTTTGCTGAAAGTAGAGAGTAAATGCATTTTAACAAACAAGCTGTTAAGGCAGTAATAGCTTTTGTGGAAGCCAGAAAAAAAGCAGACTCTGTCATGTGAAAGTTAAGCTTTAATGCAGAAGAGTCCCCTAGAAGCCCTCTCCAGCCTTATTTTTCTGTAAGTCTGACCACTCAGGGCTCTCTCCAGAGTACAGTTTGTCTCTAATACCATACTCTGTAAAGTCCTGATGTATCTCTGTTCCAGGCTGCCTGACTCAGGATCCCCTGTGTCCAAATTTTGCTCCCGGTTAATGCTGGTGTAAAGAGTTCTGGCATGTTACCATGCAGAAACGGAGAAGAAGATTGCTCCCTTTTTCCTTCCCTTTGCCTGCCCCATGCTGCCGGGCACACGTGCGTGTGGCAGCACGGCGTTCCGGGATTACGTGCACTCTGAACTTTCTCAGCTACATGCGGTGAAGTGGCTTCACACACTAACCAGCCAAGCAGCTGCTCCCGGCCGGAAGGAGGTTTGTGGGGTTTCATTCTGAGTGTCAAGAGGAGTCTCGCTACGAATGGCGCTTTCAACTGCTGTAACACCCTTTGCAGGATGAGCTTGTCTGAGCCTTCCTTGACCTCCCTGAGGGCAGGTGGGTGTTTGAGAGCCCATTTTACAGATGCTGCGTTTTGATTTGAGGCAAGCAGAGAGCTTTGGATGAGAGGCAGCTGCAAGCTTGTGGCTGGCTGTGAGACATCGATATATTGAGAGCATTGTCCCGCAAGGTCCCGGTTACTGCCTAGTTTTGTCGTATGCTTGGCAGCAACCACAAGAAGCCCCATGCAGAATCAGGACTTCTGCTTTAAACAAGTTCACCCTATGAGATAGTGCCTGAGGGGGAAACATGTGGCTTGGAGGGGACATGTCAAATGGAGATTAATGGACTTGCTGGAGGTCACACAATAGGTGAGTGGCAGAACTGGAAATAGACTGTGAATCTCTTGAGACACATCCTGGTGCTGGGTTGCTGCATCGCAGTCATTTTGATTAAGTGCCTCTCCCAGTTCTGACTGTTCTTTTTCCAGGACCATTGTTGATGGATGTTTCAGCTTATTATTTATTTTATTCTTCCTTTCTTTTTACAAGAAAGGAATGGAAAACCATCTTTTGCTTCTGAGGCTGCATCTTGGAAACATCTGTCACATGTTTTAGAGAAGGAAGTTCCCCTTCTTCTGTTTTTCTACTTTAAATGGAACATTTTCCTGTAGGATGTGGGTACACCACAAGTAGAGACGGCAGGGCAGTCACAGCCCTAGCCTGATCAGATGGGCTGCACCCCCATGGTGTGGTGTAGGAAGCTGGCACACCAGGCAGCACTTTGCCAAACCGCAGTGGGCTCCAGGGCAGCGGTCTGTGGTGTCATGCACCCTGCCTCGCCGGTGTGAGTCTGCTGGTGTGAACCAGGTCGGTGTGATTGTCAATGTGCAAGCCTGGATTTTTATTCTCTTCCTTCCAGTGCTGACTGGAGTCCATCCAAACCCAAGCCAGAGAATGTTCCATCTCATGCTTCTCCGGTAAGATGTTGGTGTTGGTGCAGAGGAGAAAAGGTCCTCCTCTGCCCTCACCCTTTGTCTTCAACTCAGTTGTCAGTCTGACAGTTCTGGGTTTGGGCCAGGCCACGGACACTTCTCCCATCAAAAGGCAGATCTAGTCAATATCGAACAGCTTCCACATCAGGTCCCATCTGTTTCTACAATGTGTAGTCTCTACCCAACTATATGTTTATTATTTTAAGAGCCCTTATTATATCTGGACACTATTAACAGCCAGGCACTAACTCTGCCTTCCTCTGTGCTTCCCGCTGGAGGTTCCATCTCCATTACTCAGAGGTCACTTGGCCACCCTCCTGCCGCAGCTCTGGCCCTCTGCTATCAACCAAAGCTCTAGCATGCCAGCAGGACTTTTGGAGAAAAAGCAGCATCCCTCTGGACCTAGAGAGACCTTTGAAAGAATTTGCTTTTTCATTTCTTCCAGCTCTGAGTCCTGGACACGTTGCTGACTCTGTAATCCTGTAAGCATCCTTCCCCAGTGGCCCTGGCAAATCCAGAGTGGAAGGACATTTGCTCCGTGTCTTCCATCCAGTTGCTTCCCTCTGGAATCTATTTTTGGATGTGAAGCTGTACACCAGACATCAGCCAGGAGTATCTTAGAGAACAGGAATTTTAGC